TACCTACTACTACTATCCCTTACTAAATAAATACTATATTAAATAAATATAATAGCACTAAGGTTAAATAAAAATAAGTAAAAGAAGATAGCGTAAATCCTTAAGTTATTTAAGAAAATAGATAAAAAGATTACTAAGTAGCTAGGCTATACTACCTATATAGTCTAGTAATAGTGTTATTATTATAAAATAACTAGCTAAGTAGTAATTTATCTTACTAGTTAGTAAAGCTAAATAAAGTTAGAAGTATAGTAACTATATAAGTTATTAAAGCTTCTTACTTACTATAATAACCTTAGCCTTAAAGAAATATAGGATTTTTTTTATAAGTAATTTAATATAAAGGTTTATAAGTTAATAATTAGTTAGCAGCTTTATATAGCTAGGTAAATATTAAAGTCTATTTATATTATTACTACCTAGAGAGATAAAGTACTATAGTATAACTAAATATATACTATTTATAAATACTACCTAAAGTAATTAGTATTTATTAATAAGTTAGGTGTTAATAAATATATAGGTGTATAGAGAATAAGTTAGGCGCTAAAAGGACTATTACTATATTAAAAGGATAAGCTTAAATATAGGTAGTAATACTAAATCCTTTCTGCTTTTACTATAAATAGTATCTTTAATATATTAATATACCTAAGTATAATAAATAGTAATAGGTTTATAGTATAGATTTAAGATAAGGTTTTACCTAAGTGTAGTACTTTTCTTACTATAAAGTTAGTTATTATTATAGATAATACTAGCTTCTACTACTAATAAGATATTTAAGAGGTATATAATTTAGCTAGTATATAACTATTATATTTACTACTATACTTACCTAACTTTAACCTTATTAAGAAGGTATTTAGTAACCTTAAGAAGCTTTTTTATAAGTAGTACCTAAAATAAAATAAAGATAAAAAGGATTTATATAACTTTAATAAGCTACTTTATAATTATATAGTAGAGGTTAGTTATAGTATAAAATAAATAGAAGGCTATTTTTATTACTTATTTATTAACTTTAATAGTACATAAGGGTTATTTAATAATATATTAATTAATAAAAATAGTAGTAATATTAAAGGTACCTTTATAACTAGTAGAGAAAGTGCTATTATTAAAGTAGTAATAAAAGAAAAAAATAACTATTAATAGATAGTAAAGAAATCTAACTATAGTAACTACCTATTTACTTTTACTACCTTACTCTTTATTAGCCTTATTATATTACTTTTTATCTCTATTACTTTTATATAAATCTATTAATAACCTATTATTAGCTATATATATTAGGTTATTAGCTTTACTACTATATAACTTATTAAGGCTAAAGTTATTTAGCTTATTATATGTTATAAAGTTAGGAAGGTATTAACTTATATAAATAATTAGTAAGAATAAATTACCTAGTTATATAAGGGAGAAGATAAAAAGACTATCTACTGCCTAGAGGTTAGTATAGTTATAACTACTAGATTTAATTTAACTAACTAAATCTACCCTTCTTAAGGTTACTTATCTTATTAGTTATAGTATTTATAACAGGCTGCTTATTAACCTTATTAACCTTATTAACCTTATTAACCTTATTAACCTTATTAACTTTATTAACTTTATTAACTTTATTAATAACGCGTAGTAATTTATACTATTAGTTAGAGCTAGTAGAGTTATATCTACTATACTTATAGTACTACTATATAAGTAAGAAAGTCTTTATTAACCTTTATATAGTGCTAATAAGGGATTTAGGTATACCTTTTTCTTTATACTACTCTTTTAGTATACGCTAAATAACTACTAGGCTTAATAAAAAGCTTTATAGTTATTAAAGGGCTATATTAGTACTGCCTTTATAGCCTTATTATTACCCTTTAACTTTAAGAAACTAGCCTATAAAATCTTATACCTCTAGCGACTACGCTATAAGTAACTACTCTCTAGGTTATAGGGGTAATAATAATAGCACTTTAGTCTCTCTTACTAAATACACTAGTAATAAGTTAATTAATAAAGTAATAAGTACGTAATAATACTATTAGATTAAAGATAGCTACTATTATAGAGGTAATTAATACTACTACTATATAAAAAGGCTAACTTTTTTACTACTAAAAAATAAATTAACTACTATATTACTAGTAGAGTTATTTATAGTTAGTAGAGAAGGCCTACTAGTAGGATTTTTACCTCCTTTAAATCTTACTATAGAGGGTAAATTACTTATAACTTTACCTTATATAGGCATATTATCTTTTTTTACTAGCTGCTAGGTAACTATAACTATAAGGCCTAGTAATAGATCTTTTAAAGTTATATTTACTTTATAATAAAGTATTATATCTTACTAGGCTTTAAGATTATAAGTAAGTAACTTATAATAAACTTTAGTAATAACTAAACACTAGTTAGTACTATTACCTACCCTTATATTATTATAGTAACTTATATAATTTATACACTTATAATACTTTATTAGATTATACTATAAATCCCTTTTTATGTCTTTCTCTTAGTTAATCTTATCCCTTATTAAATTTATTACTATTTTTCTTAAATTAATATATAATAGTTAGCTACTATAATCTAGTTACTTACTATAGTTAATTAGCTTACTATAGTTAATTAGCTTACTATAGTTAATTAGCTTACTATAGTTAGGTTACTTACTATAGTTAGGTTACCTACTTTTTAACTTTATAGTAAATTATAGCGTACTAAATACTAATATAACTAAACTAGTAAAGTATATAAGATTTATACTAAAGAAAATCTCTTAAGTCTTATAGCTAAGGTTACTTAGTTATTAGCTAAATTTAGACTATAGTAAGGTTAGCTATTTCCTATCTACTTTACTAAAGTTATTACTATAGTAGATATTATTAACCCCTTATATAGTATAACGTTTTTTACTAAACTTTACTATTATCTATAACTTTAAAAGCTAGTATTACCTAGTAAGTTACCTTTAAAAGTAATCCTTTATATTCTTTAAGATTTACTTTTTTTACCTTAACCTAATTATTATACCTACTATTAACTAACTTATTAATTACTATACTATCTAAAAAGGCTAGACTTATAGTATAGATTTAACGCTATTAAATTAGAGGTTAAAAGTAAAGTATATTATTACGTTAGTTAGTAGTAAAGCAGCTACTATAATAGCTACTTACTATTACTATAGTAATAGTAATAAAGTTTATAATAAGGTATTAAATAGATTTAGTATAAATAGTACCTATTATATAGGCTTTTTATTATTATAGGTAGGCTTATTACTATTATTATTAATACTATTACTAACTTCTTTTTTTTTATTATTAACAGTTACCTAAGTTACTAGTAACTTTTATAGCGTTTTAATAGTTATTATTAACTTTTTTACTACTACTATAACTACTACTAACTTCTTTACTACTACTAACTTCTTTACTACGACTATAGCTACTGCTAATTTTTTTAGCGTCTTAATAATTATTATTAATTTTATTAACTTTACTACTAGTGCTAGTGCTATTACTATAAGGCGCTTAATTACTATACGTAATAATCCTTTACAGGCAGCCTTACAGGCTTAAGTACTATTAGCTAGCAGCGCTAGTAATACCTCTTTACTACTAGGGGTAGTAACCCCCTTCTTTAGCGCTATTATTTAATAACAGTAGTAATAATAACAGTAACAAGCTTATTAATTAAGGCTATTTACACTATAGTATCTACATAAAAATCCACAAATCTACAGGTAAGTGGCCACCTGGCAGGGTAACCCCCCTACGTGACCCTAACTAGGGTAGTTGTGATGGTGTTTCTAACGCACGGACTGAAAAATAGGTTTTGGACGCTGCCAACGCAACAGACTGTATGGCGGGGGGGGTGAGGGACGGACATCATCCGTTGATGTTGCCAGGCCATCTTCCAGGATGCCCCAGGCTGGCTACGGCCGTCCGAAAGTTTGGACCCGGCCTCATTGCGACAGGGATATAACCGCGTTTCTTTAAATATCGTTTGATAATGATAGGAGTCCGGATGGCAGTGGTCTAGACCGTCACAGTGCATGTCGCCAATGGCTGAATCAATGCTGACCCAATGGCTCCCGTCATCGAAATGAGCGTTCTCGACGCGAGATTGGCAATGAGAGGAACCTCCCTCCATCGCGCCCAACGCGGTAAACGGCACCTTTGAGCATATGGCCGATGAATAATTGCGGCATATGCTTTGTGCATAGTCAATACAACCATTCAGGTTAGCATCCTAGTCTTACGGTGCAGTTGTCAATCCTGACGTTGTCATCGAACCCGCAGTGAGGTTCTGCGAATGGTGGAAATCTGCTAGTTCTTGGATAGTCCAAGGAAATCGATGAGTACGTTGTGTCTTCCAATGCTCGCATTGCATATTCAACTAAACTCGTTGGTTTCGGTCCATGGACAGAAACCCGATGTACAGGTTTATTTGTCGTTGAAAAATAACAAAAAGAAAGACAAAGGGTCAACCACCAAAAATAGTATGGGGAAAATGAAGCGATGCGAGAAGGGAAAGAAAAATAAGTCGCATCCTCGACTATTGACAGGCTTGGTGAGTCACAGAAATCCAACTTCGAGCCGCACGTCGTGTCTGCAATTCGTTTCTCCAACAAGCCTTCCGAATGCTGGCGAGTGTCCCTTTTGGAACGGAGGGATATCTTGTGTTTTGCTGCCATGATTGCCCGTAGAGACCCAGATCTAATTGCCCAAATCATAAATCCGCCCACGTGGAATGTGGCCAAAAGCGTTGAAAAGAAGAAGCGGCCCATCCAGGGACTTGGTATCTCAAAATCAACAACGCCAACGGAGCGGTAGCCAACCATGCGTGTGCGTGTACGTGTGTATATTTTGTGTTTGTCGCCCATGCCGCCCGTATCCCAAAGGCCTACCTGGCGGCAGGTATCAAAATTCCGTCTAAAATCCGAATCCAATCGAGTTTGTTGCTGAAGTAGAGTTGGATCCAATTATATGGTATTAAAATTTGAGGCGCAATTCGTAGCCACTTTGGCTGGGCGAGTGGTCCAGAGTGTCGCCCTCATTGGGATCGACAGCCATGTCCCATTCACGTTTGGGCTGTACGGAATCGTCGTGCGTGATTTCCTTGACCTCGAGCATCATGTCCTGACCTTCTCTCAACTCTTGGATGACATCATCCTCCATTGCGACCTCGAGCCCGCGGTCGAGCACATGAACAGTCCGCAAAATTTTGGAGGGATCGAGGTTCCACTTGGCGGCCACACGGTAGTTGAACTCCTTCAAGTTCCTCTGGGCCAAGTAAATGGCCCGGTAGTAGTCTCGCTTCTCTGGGTCTGATGGGTTGGGCCGCATGACGTAAAAGCAGGCGACTGGCTTCACAACGCGCTCGGGAGGCGGGCGGTAAGAGGGATCCACCCCCAGGGCTTCAATCCAGCCGCTCAGGTTACCAGCATCATCTGTTTTGGTAACCTTCGCTGGCTGATCCGAGCCCTGTCGAGAAGGTGGCTCGCCCGACCCTTCGCCGTCAAAGCCCGACCACTGTCGGGTGGGCACCACCGAGACCTGAGAAGCCAGAGACAGAGAGCTCGGTGATGGCGAGACCAGGGAAGAGCCTGCGACGGAGCTGCGGCCACTTCGAGCTTGCCAAGCGGGGCCTTCGCGGGATTCGACTTTGGTGAGATCGCCTTGCTCGCCGGGAAGCGAAACAGGATGCAGGTCGGGATCATCGAGATCTTCGCCGCGTAAGTAGAGTATGCTGACAGGCCGGGTGCTAGTGAACATGTCTTGCAGGGTCTGGAGCTTGAAATGCAAGTCTTCTTCGAGTGGAGGCCGAGCCCCAGCACCAGCTGAGCTGGTCGACGACATGGACCATGTCCTCTTGTGTTTCTGAACCTTACCGGGCCGCTGGTCGGCACCCTTGACTTGTGCCGCGGCACTCGACCTCTTACGCTTCCCAAAGTCCTTCATGCCGCTTTCCGCTTGCGCAATCTGTTGCTTCAGCTTGTCGATTGTCTTCTTGACATGAGCCACGTCATTGGAGAGTTTTCGTTCAGCACCGTGGTCACGGAACAGCTTGACCTTGCAGAAGCAAATCTCGGGATTGGCGTCCGCAGCTGGCTGCGTAGGGTCAGACGGAAATGTGCTGGTCTTGGCACAAAGCCTGACAGGAATGCCCTTGACGCCCTTGGAGTGGCTAAAGTCAGTGGACAAGAAGTTGAAGCGAACGGCGATGTTGCACTCGGGAGCGCCGTTGATGCCAGGGGTCCAGACGACCGAAAAGCCGTCAAAGGACGCTGACTCGAGTTCGACGCGGGTTCTCTTGTCATCACCATCGGTTGGCTGTCCCGCCTCGACATACTCGACGGCTTGTAGCTTGCCGCCTCTTTGGTGGGCCTCATTCGTGCCCCTTCCCTCCTTCCACAAGGCCCAACACACCCCGGGTTTCTGTCGTTGCTGCTCGTCCTCGAAGGAGATCCGAACGAAGGTGCGGAATCTGGTCCCTGGCGCCACGGGAATCGTTGCGTTGGTATCGATGATGGAAAGAGAGTACGCCTGGCCTTTGTTGAGGTATGTAACGGGGATCTCGTCCGCGTGTTTGATCATGGCAGTGGGGGCGTTGAGGGTGGCATGGAAACGGAACTTCTCAGCCGATGGCGGCAAGGCTGCGGCCATGGGCATTCCCCCGAACTGACGCCCCTGAAAGCCAATCATGGGCGAGTTGTGGAACGCGGTGTCAATGGAAGTCATTCGTTCTTCAGAAGGGTCCGAGTTCATCGGTGATCCGTCTTGCTCCATGGTTTCATAACCGGTATCTTGGTGTACAAATGTCGAGGGCGCAAATGATTGCTGAGGAGCAGTAGGCTGAATGAACGGGTTGAAGGGCTGGTGGAACTGCTGGGGGTGCATCCCTTGGTGGTGGAAACTAGAAAGGTCCATCATGGGTTGCCCAGAGTTCATTGCGCCCTCCGACGTAGGCATCGACAATGGGGTTCCAAGACCCATGCCGAGGCCCAGGGTGGGCGTGTGCAGATCACCGGCCTGCGGGTGATAAATGGTGTTAGTGCCTCCTGGCGTGGGAGTGTAATAACCGGGCGGCGCATTGGCAAAGTTTGTAAAGGAAAATGAGTTTGGGTCCAGCAGTGACGGCGTGAACCTCCAGGGCTCGTTCGTGGCTCTGGGAGTCGGATCTTGGTCCCTGAAAGCTTCTTGACTGAGGTTGTGGTTTCTGCGGGAAGTTTAATGTTAGCGAGTCGAGTTGGGCAAGTAAAGGAAAAAAGAGAAGACCAAGGAAACCGCCTGGCTTGATCAGTGAGCAGGTACCCCGCGTTTCTGCCTGCTGCATCCTGGCGGGTGCGACCGGGTGCCGCAACGGCCACAGCATAACATGGCTCAACGATAGCCGGGTCCACGCGTTGAGAACACTGCATGATAGGGGTCACTACTGACCTTTCTTGGACGCCCGGAAGCGGCGGGACCATGGTGGTATTGTCGACGACAGCGCTTTGAGCGTCGGCCGGTCCCGTGGTCGTAACAGCTACCTCGGGGAACTGCCTCCGGAAGGTGGCCAGCAGCTCATCGCCGGGCTTTTGGGCGCTTGTACTATAGAAGACGGGGGTACGAGTCAGCGCGAGTCCAAGGCAGGCGCAAAAAACGCTTTCTATATGGCGTAACCACGCGGATCCCGTGCAGGGAGCCGGGTCGCACCAGCGTTTTTGGCCGGCGCATTGAGCAAAGAAGGTTGGCAAAGACGTACCGTTGGCGAAACATCTGGACGACGGCAAAGTATACGTGCTGCCCAGCGACAGCGATTCCGCGATGCTATTCAGCAGTGGTGCGCAGTCCTTCCAATGTTGCAAAGTCTCTTTCTGGCGAGCGATCGAAAAATTCCGAATCCTCGCCCTCGTGTTGCGAGCTTGCGGTACCTCTAATCGTTTTCCTGTCGGACTTGCAGCTAGTCGGGTCTCGGCGTTGTTAACGAGCATAGGTCAGGTGGGGGAAAGCCGGGCTTTGGCGCCTCATAGAGCGGCGGGGGGGGAACGAGTGAATGGGTCGGTGATTGCGTCGCACGCGGTCGCAGCGCAAAGTGAAATTTCGTGCGAGATCGGGTTTTCAAATGGTGATGGGCAATGGTAGCCGCTAGTGAAGTCGAATAATTGCAGGTTGAAGAAAAGGTAGGCGCTCCGGTATGACGTCCGTGGGGAGGGAGCGATATATTAGAGGGCGCGGTGGGTACCTGGCATGTAGACTACTACCTGTGTGAAGCAAGGCGGGCAGACCAGGGTGCAGCGGAGCAGCGATGGCCTAAATGCGCCGTGGGCGTTTCTCTCGATGTTGGATCTGCTCTGCGTGGGCGAGGGGACGAGGAAGGCGGATGTAACGGCTTGGCCAAGAGAACCGGGTGAGAAGATGAAGACGATGGCCGACCAAAGCCATGTACGCACGACAAAAGGTAGTCACGCAGCGGGAGCGCGTTGGTTCGCCAGTCTCAGCGAGTTGTCTCTTGTGCGGTCCGAGTGCGCGCGCAGTGCTATTGACCGACTGTCTCTACCTGGTGATGATGAAAGTGAGTTGAGCTGTCAACGGCTGAAGGCGGCGCGTAGGATTGCCGGGGAAAGCGCAAAGAGCTGCGAGGGTTCGTATGCGCAACGGCGACCAAGGACACAGAAGACAAAGACGGTTGAAGTTCGAGACAAGTGTTCAGGCAAGACGAGCTGAGGATTCCAAGGGAAGGGGGGGGGGATGATGGATGGGATGAGCGGTATCTAAAGTATGGACGTGTGTATGCACGCTTGTTGAGCCCAGGTGAGGTAAGGATGGGGTGTGTGCGCGCGGGTTCGAAGTGCAGTGCCCTTTGGGCTGGGTCGTGTGTCGTGGGTCGTGGGATATGGGTATAGGTACAGACAGGTATGGATATGGGTCGTGGTATTGGGCCTAGGACCTCCTTGGAGAGCAGGATGGGGCCTTGGGTTGCGTTGGTAAGGGCAAGGGTGTGTGGGATATGGCTATGGGTGTTGGGGGTTGTTGGAGATGAGTTAAACGGGTCGTGGTGTATCCGTATTTGTATCCGTAAGGATGCTCAGGGCCTGTGTACCTGACGATGTGCTTCGGTAAGGTATCGAAGCCAGGTAGCCACGGTACGTACCCTTTCTCTCTCTCTCTCTTTTTTTTTTCTTCTTTTCTTTTTTCCCTTTCCCTTCTTTCTGCTTCCGATGGTGGAAAGGCAGCGTGAGGTGAGGTGAGGTGAGAGGTGTGTGAGCAAAGGATCCTGGGCCGACACCCGTGACGGAGAGGGATGATGGATGGGGTAGATGAAGTTGGAGAAGATGAGGAGCAAGCAGTAGTGGAGGTTGGCAGAAGGAGGAGGAACGTGTCGACAATATAAGAGAACAAGAGTTCGCAGCAGAGGTTTGACGTGGAATTTGAAGAAAGGAGTTGAAGGAAAGAGAGAAAGAGCCGGGCAGTAATACAATGCAGAGAGAGCAGAGCAGAGCAGGACAGCGCGGTACGGGTAGTAAGAGCCGAGATGTGATGGTGTGATGCAAGAACGGCCAAGTCGAGTCGAGCCGAGTCGAGTCGAGTCGAGTCGAGTCGAGTCGGATAGTGAGGAGGACTGACAGTTACCGGCTCTCCTCTCTTAGGCAACGTGTATATCGATCTATCAATCCTTACTTACCGAGAGGTGAAGGAAGGCAGACGGTGAGGAAGGAGAAGGTCCGTGTATGAGGTGCTTCTGCTGGTACTCATACTGCTGCTGCTGCTGCTGCTGCTGCTGCTGCTGCTGCTGCTGCTGCTGCTGCTGCCGTGCATCAGACAGACAGGCCAGGGTACCTAGGAAGGTAGGCAGATGGTTGTGGAGGATGTTTTAAATACATGGCTGACAATGCAGCTGTCTGCCAGCTAGAAGTATATATACGTACCATCTCCCCTCGACTGTATGTACATGGGGCCAGCTGCTCTCCCTCTCTCAACTCTCGTTTGTGCCTTCTCTCTGCGGTGGTCTGTACCCCGAACTGCGACTGTCGTTGTGTCTGTCTGTATGTGTGTGTGTGTGTGTTGACAGGGGCATGGCTTGTTCTTCGGCAGCCTTCGTTCTCTACGTGTACACATACTCGCTCTTTCCATCCATGTCGTCTCCTTCCCTTGCCCGACCTACCTTCCACCTCGGAAATAATTGTTAGTGCGCGACAATGGATCTTGTCACTTCCACCACCCCTCCCCCTTCCCCCCTCTTCCCCCCCCGGATAAGATGTGTCGAGAGGGCCGTTTTATGCAGACACCCTCCGTCAATGTCTGACACACCACCACCACCACCATCACCAGCAATCGTCTACCCACCAAGCGACAAAAGTATGGAATCGGTACGTGCCTGTCATCTTTCACTCATCGACGTGAGAGGACGTGTGGTCTTCTACCTAGTGTAAGTGAGATGAGTGAAGTAAGGCCGGCAAGGTGACGCCAGCCGCCCGACATTCTGTCCCCACGACTCGCGGACCATTGGCTGCATCACACACAGTCTGTCGGTGAAGTGAGGTGAGGTCGGATGGGGGGTTGTGGCTTGCAAGCTCTGTGTTGTCGATTCCTCTGTCTCGAATGGACGGATGGGCCGCGCATCGAGCCGCCGATGTGCAGTGAACCTAGGTATGCAGAGTATCTGTATGTGTATCTGTACGCGTATACTACCAGAGAGTGCTGGAGAGGTGGGTGGCGCATTCACCACCGCGCGTCAAGCCCAGCCCGGCCGAGCCCGGTGGAAAGTCAATTGTGGCAACCCCCATCGTGGCTCGTCTTCTGCCTGCACTTCCTCCAAAGCCTTTCTTTTCCATCCAAATAAGAGTACGTACTCTTACTTCGTGCCTGGTCTCCTGTCAGCCGACACGACACTGTACTGTCTCTAACTTCAGTAGACTCGGAGCAGAGAGATTTGGAGAGTGGGGGGGGGCATACAGGGGGGGGGGGGGGGGGGGGGGGCGGGGCGGGGGGGGTTTTGGGGCAGGCAAGTCACGCTACCTGCGGGCGACGTTACCCTTCTGACGTAGCTGCTCCCCATTGTGCCTTTTTTTTTTGTTACCACGTTCTGACAAAGAAACAGACCAGGGGACGCGGCAAAAGGTCAGATAATGGCTGCGTTAATCGCAAACCTACCGCTTGGGTGGGTGCCTTATGTGCCCTAGGTGCCTTACAGCACCTCCGGCTTTGTCCATTCGTCAACCGCCCGTCTTCTCCCTGCTTGCAGACGGAACGGGAGGTAGAAAGGTGAGCTCTTCTGAGTTTGCTCAGATGACAGGGCCCCTCCGCGCTGCATCAGGTCTGGTGTGGTGTGGTCTGTTCACTAACTGCTGGTCCCTTTTCCCTCGGTCTCTTCTCCCGCGTCTAGCTCCGCAAGACAGCACCACGTATGGACAAGAACTCGACGTTGTTGCCGTGTCCCATCTTGGCAGGGCAGGGCAGAAGGAAGGGCGGGGATCGAGGACGTGTCGGGCGGTGGCCGAAGGGGGTTGTAAACTGCCATGCCTGCTCATGTGCCTGCCTTGCCTCACCCGCCTTAGAGGAGCCGTGTTATGACGCTTGTGCCAAAACAACGAGGTTTGAGCTTCGCATCCCACCTCTCGCCCCATCTCATCGCCGATGGCATCTCTTTCGTCAGGTAAGGCGGACACACATATATTTCTGCCCGGGAAGTCGAGCTTTGCCTCTCTCGGCCTTGCCGTCTGTGTTCAATGCAAACAAACAGACCGGGAGAAGGTGCCACGTGCCATTGACGGTCGCTTTTGTCACTGTCTCCTGCCAAGTTGGTCCAGAGAGCGAGCACTGGTTCCAAAGGGAAGCCTCGTACATGGCAAGTGCGCGGAGGAGGACATACTGCCGAAACTCTAAATCATCATTCATTCAGCAGCACCTGCCTCAACCTCGTCGTTCCTTCACCTTTCAGCTCCTCTCCTCTCCTATCCTATCCTATCCTTCCCTTTGCCCATTTTACCGCCCAAGCTACTACCTAGGCATAGGTAGATAGGTATGCATGCATGCACCTTTTGGTTTTCCCCATCCTCTCTTTGGCATTTCTGCGTACCGTGCGCGCTTCGCTTCCATCATTCCCATCTCCATCTCTCTCCCGTTCCCCGCCCCCCCTCGTCACTAGTCCCCGTCCCCCGTCCCCGTCCCCCCGTCCCTTGCCCTTGACTGCCTTTGCTTTTGTTTTTATCTGGTCCTACTGTAACCTGTAACCCCCCCCCTTCGACAGGCTACATCCTTCTCCCCCTAGTCCTCCGTGGCTCCTACCGTCACAGTGCGATGTGGGCTGGAGTGGATATCGTCTGATTAAGGCGTTGCGTCCTGGATCGGTCATTTCTTAGTATCATCGTGCTTCTGACAGCTCGATGCTCTATGCCCCAGCACCACTGACCCCAGAAAACGCCCAATGCTGATTGCTAGCCACTGGATAGCATTGAGTGGCTTCGTCTCGCATGCTGTTTTTATTCGTTTTCGTACGGGCATGGCGCACCGACTATGTTTTGCATCACCATCTTCGTTGGGAGGCTCAATTATCGACTGGGTCACGCCTGGTAGAACGCTTTCCGTTGCCCGTCCTCCTCTGGGCAATCGCACTTGTTTTCCTGTTTGTTTGTTTATCTTTCCGTCTCCTTTCTTGTTTTTTTGTTTTTGTCTTTTACTGATCCATCATGTCCAAGCCGGCCTCTTAATGTGGCGACCGACTCCCTTCTTGCCCAATGCTTCGGACGCATTCCATTAGGAGGCTTCGTCCGCTTGTTCGCCGCCACTCCGTCTAGCCATTCCTGACCGGAGGCGCCTCAACGGGGCGTTACGTTACTCTCTCTGATTTATTAGTACGCGGGCTGGCTCAACAAACTACCAGGATAGCGACGACGGTCAACAAGATGCCGGTCTTCGTCATGGCTTGTCACATCCCTAATGTCTCGGCTCGTATCAATGAGAGCACGCCAACTGCTGTATACAATACAGTCTCTGATACTGTTCACTCGCAACATACCTTTGCCGCACAGCAAAGAACCGTTTGTCCTACGGTTGGACGGAAGCCCATATTCTCTCGTCTTTTCTCGTACCACTACATATAGCTCTACTGCACACAGCCCCAATTATACGTTGGAATTGGTCTGCCCGAAGACCCCTGGACCCTTAGACAGTGTGGCTGTGCAATCTCCGTTTTGCCCCCTCCCCCCCCCTAGGCGAAGCGACGCTACCGAGTCCCAATCAAGCTACGCCAGCCAGAAGGGCTGAGGGGCAGAACCTTCAGGCTCATTTGGCGAACTCCAGTGCGCACCGAAACGGTCATGCCCGACGACGCTCATAGGTAGAGCTGCTACGCTCCAACCGCCCTGAGGTTACGCTAGGGATAGCCGACATGTTCGCTGAATTACGATCCCGAGAAACCGGACTTGCCCTGACGGGAGGTGGCGGCAACAGGAATCGTCATGCTCATCATCCAGTAGATCTTTGCATCTACGGCTAGGGTAACCAGCACTAAAAAGTTGGACCTCACTCTTGGCATCAGCTCGGCTGGGTATCGTCGGCGACTTATTCGATGGCGACGATAATCTGGCATTGCCTGGGTATCTCTACACTACAACCAGCCTCTTGGGATGCGCCGTTTTCTTGACCACCAAGGGCGAATCACTGCTCTATGCGCCGTGTTGCTGTCGCACTCAACATTCCATCCATCTCTAATGTGCAGGTGTTTCTGTTGCCAGCGATTCGCCCACCCCTGGCCGACGATGTATTAAGGGCGTCTGCTTAGTAGTAATGAGTCTCGATCCCTAGCGTATTTGCCACGGGGACGAGTCCGAGCAGCAAAGCGCACGCTCATACGTACCTTTTCTATTGTAAAAAAGCAAGTTGGATACCTATAGGGGGTGCAGCCTCTCTGATCCCAAGGCCGCCATCGTCCCAGTATGTCCACGCTAACACTCCGCTTCTTGTTGGTGTGTCTGACTCGACATCCTTGGTTGTTCTCGACGGTGGCCTTCGGCCAGTCTGTCCTATTCCAGACGACTGGCCAAGCAGGCCGACCGTTTCACGCCATCTCACAAACTCTTCAGTAGCGTTGTCAGAAACGTCGCCAACGTTCGTTTAATCGGGCGCGCCGTTGTCGTCCTTGGCACTCTTATTCGTTCCCGTCGGCACCAGGCACGTGGCGTGACTCCCGTCCCGTTCAGATGATTATTGATTGGCCCCGTGCTGTTTAGGCGTCACCGGCTGGCACACGGCATGAAGGAGCCAGCAAATCAACAATGCAAGTTGCCAGTTCGGTTGCGACGCCACACCGAGATATGTATTGTATCATAGGTACTCCTCCACTTACTCGCCGGAGACGATTGCCATCGGCAGCGCTGAAATGGGAATGTCTCACAATCGCCATGGCCGTTCTAGTTCTCGGGGTGCTTGTAGCATCGACCATGGAGAGACCAAGTGTCGGCTTCTCTGAATCTCGCACACAATAGGAATGCGAGGTCATGCGAGGTAACGCAATGCCTGGTTTGCGACTGGCAGTTGCTCGAAGGGGGTGCAATTTCCGTAACATCGATTTCGGGGCGCTTGCATAAGGCTTATATATGCATAGTAGAACACACTCATACACCCACCATCTACTTCCTCGGCTGTTTGCGACGATTTTGCGGGAGAACACGACTACGACGCTCCATTGTCTTTTTGATGCCGCCCCATTTTCCAGGCGCCTAGTCCATCATCATCCACATGTGAAAAGAAGATGAACAAGAACAAGAAGAAGAAAAAAGAAAGAAAAAAAAGGCCGAGACTGGGGCTGTGTTGCCTACATATCCGCGACACAACTCTACTTCAGCGTTCGAGCTTAGGCTGTCGCGCATCGACTCAACCAAACTACGGGCCCCCGATACAACTGCAATTCCTGTCATTTAACGTTCATTTGGACTTTGTAAGGGTATCTCGAA